ATGAACAACACGAGTAGAACAAACAGCCATATTTAAGCAGAACAAATGGCTTTGGCTCAATGTTTCTTTGTACAGATTGTTTGAGATGCATTTTCAAAACAATTCTAGGGATAGAATGGAACATTTTCAGTCGTGCAGGCCTCCAGCCTTGAATGGTAGAAGGGAAGTGGTGTTCATCATTCTTAGCCTAGCATTTTAAAAAGAACAAAACTCTTACTTCCTTGCGAGAACTTATTCAGAAAACTGTGTCTGGCATTAGATAATATGCAGTGTGTATAGAGCATACATGGTATGCTTATAGGGAAATCAGCCCCAACTATGAGTGTTTATACAATCCCTAAATTGCACTGCATAGTTTATTTTGGTCAGCAGAAATAGCAAAACCTGGTAATTGTAAACATGTATGGACACATGCACACACACAAAATATAGAAAGGGGATACTAAAAGTTATTAATGCAGCTTCTCAGAGTTGTTCACCAATGCCAAAGCCATTTGTCTTCACACTTTTGATTGCAACTTATAGAAATTTTGCCATCCTGTTATTCATTTTTAGACTTTCACAATGCTTAATGGAAAAGCTGAAATGTAATTCCCCATGTTTGTTTACCCAATGTAGCTAGAGTCTGTGTGTCTACTTTTTTTCTCTATATTGCTCTGTGGTGTACTCTGCCTCATTGTGAATGAAATAAAATAACCTTTTAAATGTTTTTTAGTCCTTACAAAGTATTCATGACTTTATGCCCTGCCTCGAGGAGAAGTGGGTAAGAAATAATAATAATAATAATAATAATAATAATAATAATAATAATAAATATCTAGCCTATAGCAATGGCAAAGAGTTGTAGCAACCGACAGATAAATTTAATTTCCATCGTAGAAGAATGTTGTCTAAATGAATGCATCCTTTGGAGTCTCAGGAAATCTACTTAGCTACGCTAACAAGAAGTCATAACATTCCAGAAAGGGGCTTAATTGTAAAAGCTGGTCAGATTCCCAGCACAGTTTCCATAGCTGCACCTGTCTGTTGGCAGCATTAAAAAAAAAAAAAAGGCAAGACAGCATGAAACTTTCTTAATCCAGGGATGCCAACTGAAATGTCTGAACTATTACAGGACAATTAAGTCAAAAGGCCAGTTAAGTTTAGTGTTTTTAATTCCTTCATTAGCTGGATTAGTGGCCTCATCAGAGCTGAAGCTGAAGATTAATAAATAGTAAGTTTGAACTGAGGTTCCTCTCTGCAGCTATAGAGGTTAGTTTTTGGCTACTTCTTTTTTATGGGCATTAAAAAAAACAGAAAAAAAAGTTTTCCTGTTGGAGATGCTCAAAGTTTGGACAGAATCATGAAAGTGATCTTGTGTATTCTAAATACATGAAATAGAAATTACCAGCTAAAAGCAATTTGGTACTGTGATCAGTTACTGAAACAGAAGTCTAGCTTCAAATGTCACTTTGCTGTGTACACATTGAGGGTGCATGAATACTGTAGAATTAATACAGTTTGCCACCACTTTAACATGGCTGAATGCTGTAGAACCACGAGAGTTATAATTTGGTGAAGTATCAGCAGTAGTTGGCAGAGAAGGCTAAAGACCTTGTAATCCACAATTCCCATGATTTCACAGCATTGAGCCATGCCAGTTAAAGTGGTGGTAAACTGCATTAGTTCTACAGTGTAGATGCACCCTTAGTGACATTTGGCAGGTAGGAGTTTCTTAGTTCTCCATAGCAAAGAGAGGCCCCAGTGAATATAAATGTAGGAAAGACTCCAAATTTTGTAAAGTTCTTCGTTCTTCGTTGAGCTGTAACTGCCTGAAAAGCAAGTTTGTTCTAAGGATCAACTAAAACCAACTAATCTCTGAAATCTGGGGAGATGCATAGGGAGTCCGTCGCACCACGCCCTGCATCACCCATAAGCGCGCAGCCTCCCCCTATATATTCTATGTGTTGCCCTTGCGGTGGCATGTGCCAGTGTCACCCTCCTTCACACAAGGACCCATGTTTTTAGCCTAGGGTGACCTAGGCTAAAATCGGCGTGTGTCGCTGATTTTAGCCCTTTGTGACGCGGTTGCAAGTGTATTAAAATACTATTTGGAGGTGACTGATGTGTTGAATTAATGAGTCAACGATACTGAAAAAATATTCCAGGCAGTGCAATATTTGTCTTCCAAGTGTTCAGGCTGGAATTTTAATACAGTGTTTCAAATGTTGAATTATCTTCATTGTATTTTTGTGTGTGTTGGAACTGATGAGGATAATTCTCACAAACAAATGTAATAATTATAGTTGAAGTGGTGTAAATACTGTATATTCAACTATTCTAGCTCTAGTCTTTACCAAAACACATACAGGCATGTATGCCAAATGTCTCAGAAACGTAATCTAGAAGGACAGTTATTACTACATTAGTATTTTGGGTTTCAATCCAATTCTTCAGATTCTTGATGGAGTACAGTGTTGAAAACTCAGATAAAATAGTAGTACAGTTAGTGCTGTGGGAAAGTTACTGTTTTAGCCAATCAAAACCTCCAGCGTACAGCAGGATGCAGAAAATGTCAGTTGCATCCCTAGTTTATGGCCAGTGTGAGAGTATGCACCTGTCTTTATCCTCTCTTCCACCTCTATGACCATGCACTGTAACCACAACCATGTTGCTATTTTTACACACCTGTGACTTGTAATCCATGAAAACTTGCTCCTAGAATCTCCCCTTACCTTATCTCCCTTCCTTTCTATGGTGTAACAGTAGAACTTAAAGATAGTGCTCTTTAGACTAGACCTTTCTGGTTGGAAATTCTGGTTCTAGTTGGCCAAAACAGTAACTTTTCCAAGCCCTGGTAGTAATTTGAATGTCAGGCTCTGACTGGTGAAACCCAGGTTCACATTCTTACCAGATATATTTGGACCCTTCACTGCCAACCTAACCTCCCTTGTGGTTTTATGAACATAAAATGGGGTTAAGAAGTGATTACCAAATCATATAGTTGTAAGCCACTCTGCGTCACCTTCGGATTCAAGAAAGGCAGGGTAGAAATGTTGTAAATAAATAAATAATATTTATTCAGTCCATTCTGAGCTCTTTGATGGAAAGATGTCGCAATACCAAAGAGTAGCGAAGAGTAGCAATACCATAAACAAAATCATTTCCTGTTTTCAGTTTCAGGAAAATGTTTTGCTCTTTTTCCTACCTAGCAGTGTAAACAACACTGACAAAACAAAACACTTCAAACTTTTGCCATCCTGAACCATATCAAAAGCAATTGCCAATAGCATGGTTGAATAATATTTTGCCACAGGACATACACACAATAGGTTTAATGATCATGCAATTGTTCAGTTAAAGTTCCACTGCTTCAAAAGGACTTGTTGTGTTGCTAGGAAAGAAAAAATTGATAAAAGTAAGATTCATGCAGACATATATTTTAATCTGCTCTCCTTAAGTCAGTGGTTCCCAACCTGTGGGCCATGGCCCACTGGTGGGCCGCAAGACCTAAATTAAGGTGCACAGCTCTAGATATTTACTGTGGGTGAGCAGATGGCAACTACTGGATGGCATATGTTCTCTTTCAGAAACTAGAGCTGATGTGGTCTATCCAATGCAATTATCTGAATTGGCACCCTAAATAACCAAACCGAATCTAAAGTTGACCAAAAAAAAACCGATTTGTAACCCTTTTGGTACTAATGTTGGAGAGTTGTCCCTGGTCAAAGTGGTTCCTGGTCAAGTGGTCCCTGGTCTAAAAAAAGGTTGGGAACCACTGCTTTAAGTGTTACTAATATTTGTCTAATGAAATGCACATGGTATTACGTTTTCAGTAATATAACTTTATCTTCATTTTTTTTACCATTACTGTTTTCCAATGTTTCATTCCAAAGACAAATCTGAATTGGTTATAAACTTTAATCAAAGACATACATGCAATTATATCTTAGCTGGAAATTTGGGTCATTCTCTTTGCAACACCAGGTACTCTTCACTGTCTCTCTAGCCATTTTGACCTTACTGGAATTACAAATGACAGGATGAGATCCTCCACAATAAATGCTGATTAATAGGTCTTCCAGCTAATCTTAGAGACCAAATTTTATTCATTTTGTACAACTGAAAATAGTAACAAGTTACAGTTTTGGACCAAATTGTAAATATTAACTTTAACAGAACAGATGACCAAATCATTTGAAAATAGAACTCCTGGCTGCAATCCTGTAAGCATACTTTCATGTCAGGAATGACGAGAAACTTTTATCCATGTGGTAGCTATTATTCTCAGTTGTGGAACTGAATTAGATCTTAATTGTTTCCAGTTCTACTCAACGACAGTTTCTCCTTAGTCTTTCCTCCTTTTAATGAGGTGGCTTGTGTGGAAATAGTTAAATAAGTGCATGGTATTTTCACAGGCATGTGGGATGTTGAATGAACGACAAACATTTGCTATGTGATTTAAATGCCCTAGTTGAGCATTTTCCCCTCTGTGAAATAAAACAGTGATTTCAGTGGCATTCAAGATAATAATAAAATTAATGGATTTGCCACCAATGTGCTTTGTGCTTATCTTGCTTGATATCATTTATGGCTTAAGTATCCTAATGGCACTTGATACTGTCTGATCTTGGAAGCTAAGCAACATCAACCCTGGTTAGTACTAGGATGAAAGACTGCCAGTCGATGTCAGGTGCTGCGGGCTATATTCCTGAGGATGGAATTGGTATAAACCACCTCTGAGTATTCCTTGCCTAATTATGAAACACATAGGGTCACCATAAATCAACAGGTGACTTGAAGACACACATCCACACAAACTTTTTTTTGCAGAGCTAAGACATAATGTCCCCTCCTTGATCAGAAAAAAACCCCAATCCTTGAACCTGAGTCAGATCTTTCTAAACAAACCTGCAAACAACGTGCTGGCCTGTGAATCCCTTAGCAAAAGAGGGGAAAGTTTCTTTTGATTTTCATGCACATTGCTTCCATCTAATGCAAACAGAAAACCACTCTCTTACCCGGTAACAATTTCAAATGGTGGCAGAGGCTCCAACTTTGGCTTTTCAGCCTCTGCGTTTTCTGCACCTTCTGCATTTTCTGTTCCTTCTGCATTTTCACCATTCTGGGTGGCTGGGGGTTGCTCTTGCTTCTCAGCCATTCTGTTGCAGTGGATGCCCAAAGACCCTGCTGTGGCCAAGAGCTAGCTATCTCTCTCTGCTCGGGCTCCAGAAGCAGATATGTGAGAGCAGGAGAAGTAAGTGAGGGGGGAGAGTTAGAGGTTCCAGTTGTCAGGAGCTATATATGGAATGGGAGCCCTGGCTCGGGTGGGAGCAGGCTAGGATGACCCCAGCAGTCTCGGGTGTCGCCTTTCCCTCATTCTGACTCTGGCCTCTTTCTGTCCTCCTTTATTTTAAATATGAAGCGAATAGGTCTGTGTGGGTGGGTTATCTCATGGGTGGAAAATCCTGGCTGCAGAAGTCACCTATTTATCCACGGCCATGACAGGAATCTCCATCCAAAGTTGGAAAGCTACCCACCGCTATATGTTTCTGGACTTGCCAGGGTGCCCTCCTGCTGCCCTTGAGAGAACACCCTTCCCTCAAAAGTAGAGAGGAAGAGGCAGGTGCAATGCCACTACCTTTTTTTTCTTAATTGGTTTGTCAGTTGCTTGATATGACATTAAGACCTTCTTTACATTCCTCTCATGGAAACCACTGCTTTAAAATATTGGGTAAAGCTAAGACCCAGTAGTAATTTTACACCAGTGTCATACAATAAGAGAGCCAGCGTGGCCTAGTCAGTGGTTTGAACATTGGACTATAACTCTGGAGAGCAGGGTTCATTTCCCTATTTGGACATGAAAACCCATTGGGTGATTTTGGGTAAGTCACCCACTGTCAGCCCCAGAAAATCAAGCAATAAGTTCACTTTAAGGTTGTCATAAGTCATGTCTTGAAGGTACAATATCGTACAATAAAATGCTTGAATTTGTGGAATGATATTCCAGTTGATACCGAGATAGGTCTTTTTCTTAGTCTCTTTCATGTGTTAGCAAACTTGTTGGACTTGAAGATCTGTCTTATGCTGAAAAGTTGAGACATGTCAAAACTTACTTATCTAACAAAGCTGGAACCTGCAATTTTCAAATCTGTATAATACTCTTACTACTGCACCAGCCTGATTATCAATATTGCTGTTGTATTTTCAAGGAGATCACATTGATTGAAAAGAAATATTAGAAATGTTTGTGCTTCTCTTGCTTCTGTACACGGTAAGTATTTTGCTTAGTGAGTATTAAACACCAAGGACTTTTACAGTTATGGAGCCATTAAAATGAACGTTCTGAATGTGTAGACAATTGTGGAAAGGTGGAGATCATGCTGCTCACCAGAACAGGAGTCTGCTTGAGCTGGTTTGGAAATAAGTGGACTCTTTACTCTTTCAAATGCAATGGATTTGAAATGCAGCAGATTGGGGTCTAGATCTAAGAGGAGGGAAGGTTTGGTGAGCTGATCTTGGCTACTGGCACTTTAGTAAAGCATGTATTCATTCTGAAACTGTATATAGAGCACACAGCTAGACTACGTAGCTTTATGAGCATACCTTTGGAATTACTGTATTGATCTGTGCTCAGCTACCAAAACTTTCCTGAGGGTGGTGACACTCTGGAATGGCTTTCATGTAGGATTTAGAATATAAGATTTTGAATTCCACCACTCATGTATGCAACCATATTAATAATAGAAAGCAGTATTTGTGTTATGTATATCTAGATATAAGCCTTGCTCCCTCAGATTTTTATCCTTCTCCCCCTCCACTCACCATTTCTTGGGTGTTAATATCTTGTTATTCCAACATCTTAAAGGACTCTTATGTGGTTTTCTCCCAACTCCAAACTGATCCTGGTGGAGTGTCCTCTGAGAACAATATGGGATATTACACAGAGGGTTGCAGTAGCTAGATAAAACTAGTGAAAATTTGGTGTCCTAGTTTGAACAAAGATAGTTTTGTCTTTCTACTTTTTCTTCATACTTATGGGATGGGGATTTCATGGTTTTTGAAATGTTGTTCGATTGCAACTCACATCAGCTCCAAGCCAATGATGAAGAATGATGGTAGCTGTAATCCTTTATCACCTAGAGCCCACATGTTCATACCTCTGTAGTATGGAATTGTTAGCTTTTCCTTTTACTACAGGTCAAGTATCCTTTATCCAGAATGCTTGGGACCACAAGTGTTCTGGATTTTTTTTTAAAATTTGGAATATTTGTGTATAATAATGAAAGATTTTAGAGATGGGACTCAAGTCTAACCATGAAATTTCCTTATGTTTCATACACACCTTGCACATAAAGCCTGAGAGTAATTTTATTCATTATTCTGGATACTTTTGCATATGAAACAACATTTATGTACATTGCAATATCACTATCTCAGCCATTCATGTGGAGAATTTTGAATTCTGGAAAAGAGGTGGTCAACCTGTATTTTCAGCAATGTATTTTTTAAAAAGATCACTTGTTTGTATGCTCCAGATTTCTTCAACATTCCTTTTGCTGCAGCTGGACTCATGTAGCAACAAAGCTGAGAGCTGTGGCCTGACAAACAGACATTGTACAATTGATATACTGCTGCTCAGATGTTTTATTTTTCAGATGAGACAATGACAACAAAGGTTATAGGATATTCTATCCATTGGCTCTCATCTTATGCACAGAGGGATTATTTTAATGGTATGGAATATTTTCCTTCGAAAGTGTATTGTTTTTCTCCCCAGAGTGGTAACTATGTTGAAATACCAACACCCCAACCGTTGACATTTTAGTAAGGAATTGTGGGGATGGGGATCCTGAGCTGATGAATGATAGCTCTTCTGTCCTCTTCCTCCTGTCCCTCTGACCCACTTTATTTTTGGAAGCTCTTGACTGCTGGATTAATCAGGGTCCCGTCATTCCTACTGCTTTAAACTTTCCCCGGAGCCAGTCACTCTGCAAAGATCAGTGCTGAGCTTTAATCTAATCTCTGGAATGTGGTTCTCTCTTTTTTCACAGCTGCTGCTGAACGCCTTCTACGGCAGTTCTCTGCATTAATATAGGCAGACCACCATGGGCTGTATGTAGTAGTAAGGCAAAAACAAAGACTGTATGCAGGATGGAGAAAAGTGATGCCACACTTCACAAATTAGTGTGGCACACGAAGGTCTGAAGTGCACATGTGGGAAATTTGCCACTTCCATATGCTCCTGGATACATATTTGTTAAACATCAAGGTTTTTCCCTCCTGAATTTGATGACATTTGCAATTTTTGTGTGTGAATTCTAGCTGTAGATACTAGCCGTGTCTGCGAGCTATTCCGAGCAAAGAGAAGTCTTTGAAGTCTCTTATTATGTAAACGTTGATGGTAAGAAGTTCCTCTGAAGAAAGAAGTGATAACTTAAGTCAGATGTCAGTTTTACGGATATTACTGTTTTAAACTCCCTAGTTCTTTCCTGCATGGATATGAAGAAATGGGTGGATTTGGTTAAAAAATAACAAAAAGAAGTGGAAACAAAAACCTTATCCATCCCTCATCTCTACACAGAAGGATACATAAGAGACCTAAATCTTAATATCTCAGTGTGAAAATTATGTAATAGATTTCCTTCAGCCTTTCTTCATGGTTCTCTGAAAGTCCACATTCTTCCACATGGAAATTCTACTCCATAAATATGAGAGAACATCAATCATGAAGAAAACTGGTCATTTCCCTTATCAAGAGTTATGCTTGTGTAACCAGAAGTCACACTAACATTAGGCCTTTCTATCCAGTTTTCTTTACTGACAAAACATTGCTGAGCAGGGGCCCATTCCCAATAGAAATAAGCAGAAGTTGGCTCAAGAAATACTGGGAAAGTTCCCCACATACCGATCCCAGTCCCAGCAGCTATCATCCTCTGAGGCATCATTATCTGGTGGAGTTCTATTTCGACTAAGGTCAAAGAGGATCTCAACCATGATAACAAAATCCATGAAGAGATATTATTGTATTCAAGTTGGCTCAAGGAATCCTGGGAAAGTTCCCAACATACCGATCCCACTCCCAGCAGCTATCATCCTCTGAGGCAGGGGTAGGGAACCTTTGGCCCTCCAGCTGTGGTGGACTTCAACTCCCACAATTCCTTGAGGCTCGGCATTGGGCCAAGGTAAGCCTTTGGGGCGAATGCCGAGCCTCAAGGAATTGTGGGAGTTGAAGTCCACCACAGCTGGAGGGCCAAAGGTTCCCTACCCCTGCTCTGAGGCATCATCATCTGGTGGAGTTCTATTTCGACTAAGGTCAAAGAGGATCTCAACCATGATAGCAAAATCCATGAAGAGAGATTATTGTTTTCAATTTTAGTGTGATAGGATTGCCTCTCTGAAATGTTTCTGTGCCCTCCTAAATTGATCTTTGATATCATAATGTATGGTTCTTTCTAAAAGGCGTTTACAGTTTTTTACATCATGTCATTGCATACGTCTAATATTAATCAGGACCTCTTTTACTGCACAGTGAATAGTTGTCTCATGATGTTTCAAATATATCTATCCGTGTCACTAACTTCAAAGACACATTAAAATTGTTAGTAATGTCTACCATTTTTATTGTGTCATTAATCATAATTCACAGTCTTTCCCATTGTGATTGAAGTTACTTTATAAATCACTGTCTTATTTAGTGTCATATAGCAGTCAAGATGAGCCCCTAGCTCCACTCACTGACAGAGTTTCATAAAATTGAAGATTAATGTCTTAATAACGTTCAGTGGATTGTGTTTAAGGGGCTTCCTTTTATGTGTGTGTTTGTGTGTTTTACATCAGCTGACTGTACCCCTCCAGCATAGTCTCTATTATTTCCATTCATTATTCAGTTTAGTTTGACTGTCACCAAGAAGCGGAATTGGGGTGAGAGCGTTGCAGTCCCAGGCTCAGGAAATATTTAGTTGGCCAGAAGCAAAGTTGAAATAAGACACTGTCGGCATCAGGCGGAGACAGGGATGACTAAATAGGACAGCTGATTATCAAAACAAAACATATCCCTGGATACGTTGTCTGGCAGCCATTCCTTGGTGCCTTCCGTTGTAACCATTGCAAGACAAATAAACAATAAACAAACATAATTGGTACCAACTTAGAGGACGTTGTTTGCTTTTTCTTTCCATTATGGCAACCCATTGCCCCATCTCAGTTTGGAGGTTTTCCAGTAATTTCATGGGCAGATTGGTTTGATTTTGTATACTGTTGTATAGATCTGCTTCATACTGTC